AAAGATAATAGTTTTGGCTTTTCTAAATCTCAAATCACCATTATATTTGTGGTTTTCTAAATGGATAGTATTTTGGGCTTTTCTAACTCAAATCACCAATATCATATAAATTTGTGCAAGTAATTGATAGCAAAATAAGGTAATCATCATATTTCCGAATTAACTAATTAAGAAATAAAGAACATACACATTTAATGCAATATCACATGTATATAGTTACCAATAAATGACATCATAAAAGAACAAGAAATTTACTTAATAGACATATATTTCACGAAAATTTAATTTTTAAAATTTTCAATTAAATGTATATTTAAAAAAATACTTCCTAAAAAGATTATTTCTTTTAGAATTATATATGATAAAAAAAAATCAGAATATATCAAATTTAAAGAATAATTACGAATTAATAATCATATTTTATCATTAAGTCTCCTGAAATATTTGTTATAAAAATTCTTGTAAAGACATTTCTTGAGATATATAAAGTCTTATGGTTCTTGTAATATTTGTATCCTTTTAATAAACATGAAGCAATCAAAGAAAGATATTAAAAAATTGACTGTCATAAATTTGTAATAATTAACATACCATTTAAGACAAGTAACTGATGGCACAATAAGGTAATCATCGTATCAACTTGTGCAAGTAACTAATAATAAAATAAAGCAAGTTATTAATAAACGAATTAACTAATTAAAAGCCTACCAACAAGGTATATATTTCCTAATACTATAATATGGTTATAAAATTGAAGAATAATAAATAGTTTTGATTTTGATATATTGTAAATCTATAGAAATATATAATAATTATGTTTTATCACTTATGTTTAATATAGAAATTTGTATATAACCGATTTAATTCTAACATTAGTATTAGAAATATATACAAAAATGTTACACATATCATATCCTAACTCTAAATTATATACATAATTTATTATGTGATAAATTGTATAAAGTTATATTATAATTGACATAGAACTATATAGTTTATGATGACAAAAGAAGATGACAAAAAAGAACTATATAGTTTACATATATGAATTTATAGGATATACATTTTATAATATGATAAATTGTATAAAATCATATTTGAGTACAAAGTTGATAAAATGTATAAAAAGTTATACTAACTTTTATAATAAAATATTTATTAAAGATTTTTTTTCTTTAGTGTATAAGCAAATAATTATTTGAAAAATCATAGAGAAAGTAACAAAGCATGAAACTTACATTGTAGTTTACGTATTTTGGATGATATGATCATTTGTAATGTTCATGTCTTTGAATAACATGAATGTGGAGAAAGATTTGAGTACATATGGATCCACAAGAGGAAACGTCATAATCGTTGGTCTGCGCATATAAACTAAAATTGTAAATTAAAAAACCAATAGAAAAATACATATGAAAGCATTTTTCTCCTTCTAAGCTCTAACAAACAATCATTAAATAGAAAGACAATACCTATGAACATATCTAAAAAAGTAAGAATTAGAATTCAAATAGATCTACGATTAATCAAATCATATAGAAAGATAAAAAAAATTACCTGCATCGTGGTGAAATCATTATAATAGGGCATCTGCATATAAACCAAAAGAAAAGTCAGCTCAGATGAAATATGTATATATAAAAGTTTAATGATATAAAATAACAAAACAGTATCAACATAAAAAGTTCAGAATAAAAAGTTTAGTGGCTTCGTTTCTCCTACTGTGAATGTCTTATATATAGTAAATTGGTGGACGTTTCTCAATGATTTAGCTTGCATGATAAGCTAATAAATATAATATTCTCTAATAAATTATTGAGAATATTATATATTCTATACGATTAATTATATGAGAAACTGTATATAGAAACTATATATTAGAATGTATATTCAATATTAATAAGGTAAGTTAATAATAACAAACATCCAAATTAGATACAAATCGATAAATCGCACTAAACAATGTAATCAATATGATATCAAGAGTGAATTGTTTTCCGTATTTGTAATAAGGAAATTTATTAATACATATTTTACTAATTTATATTCTTGCGCAAGTAATATCTAATAAGGAAAATTAATTAATACATGTATTAATTATTGTAAGGTTAGTAAATTATTAGTGATATACCAAATAATATTCTTGGCTTAATTTCATTATTGTGCAAGTAATGTAGTTTTTAAATAAAGTAAGACATTTAATATGAATTATTATATTTGATAGATTTAAAAAATAATTAAAATAGATTAAAGAAATTTACAACTTGTGCAAGGTAAGTCATTAAAAGGGATTAACAAATTTGATAAATTTAATAATCAAATAAATTAGATACGTTTACATGCGCAAGAAATGTATAATCAAATATTGTAATAAGGTAAGATTTTAGCCACGATTAATTTAAATAATTTTTAATTGAATGCGGCTTTTTGGTGGGTAAATATTTAATAAAAAAATATAATTTATTAATAAATAATTATAATCTATTAATCATTTTAATAAATAATTATATGTTAGTGACATTTTTAACATATTTTAGTATAAAATGTATGTGTGTGTTTTTCTAACAATCTATTTATATAAAGGATAAGTAATTATTACTAAGAAGTCATTTTAGTGATTTAACATATGTTTTTAACAGTTATTACTAACAATATGTTTTTAACATATTTTAGTATAAAATGTATGTGTGTGTTTTTCTTACCAGGATAAGAAATCACATACAATTTAGGTTTATGAAAATATATTATCGCATGTTGAAAGACAAAATT